TTTCGTACCGACTCCAGATGAACTCTCACTCTTTTCCCGTCTTCTCTGTCAGACAGGTGACAGGAGACCTGCTGTGAAGGACAAGTTGCAGCGCTCTTTACTCCCACCCATATGGAAAAGAAATAGTAAAAACTTATATGTGATTACTCCACTTTCATGAGTAAATCATATAAGGCTTACATGATTTACTCATGAAAGTGGCTACTTTCTCATTACTTTCATACATTGTTTTAGTAAGTATCCAAAACATACAAGTTTCATTATATAATTTTTCAAGGGATCTTATATCTGTTTTCACTCTTATATGCTTTTCATACAAGTTTCACACAAGACAGATACAAACTTTATAAGATTTATAAATATCTTTTCCATATGGGCAGTGGGTCTTCCTTATCTTTAATTCTTATTTATTTACATGTTAAAGGGTTGAACAGCGCACGTGCAACAATAGAGCGCCTTTGAGCTAACATGCCACGTGCTGATGCAACTAGACTGCAATATTATATTACAGGTAATGCATTTGTCTTATTTCTTTGAGACAAATGCCAGATTTATCTCAAATAAGCTCCTGAAGCATGTCAGATCATCAGCCTCTCGCCCACCGCAACAAATTCACTCTATATTAGACACTGAAGCGATTTTAACACAGCCCAATAAACTTTGGATATTAATAATAAAGTTTTGCTCGAGCAGATTTTTAATCAGCGTGCCAAAGCTTAAGCTTTCAAAGCACTTTGATTATCAAAGACTTACCCATGCCTGAGGAAATACATTTTTTCTCACAGATGATGACTGTTGATAAAAAGTAGACTTTTTTTGTGTAACATTTGATCTAAATACTGTCCCAGTGCCGTTATAACTTCCTCTTTTATGAACAACGAGAACCTCCTCTCAGTGCAACCTTTACTTTTAGCTGTCCCTCCTCCGCTGTCACATCTCATTTTATCAATCAGCACACAAAGTAAGCAATACTAATGGGCTCCGCCAGCAATTGTTCTCAATCAAACGTGTATGAATAGACATGAATGAAGTCTGTGTGAATGCATATCAGCAGACGGTGGGGGAACAGAGGCCATGTACGTCAATGATATTGATTTCTAAAAGGGCTGGCTCGTGGAATTTGGCAGAGTGGCAGACACTCAGGAGTAAAGGGGAGTGTGATCTTTTATCTAAAAGGGTAAATGGGTCATGGCATCATGGGACGGTCCAATCGGGCACCCTGAAGTGTCGCGCAAGGACGGTGGGAACAGTGGCGTGAAGAGAGTCGTGAATCAGAGCGTTAGAGGAGGGCGCGAAGGCAAGGGAACCTGAGCAAGAAAACCCAAGGGCCAAATACCACTGATGCAAAAACAATATATAGATATATAATAACAGAAACTCCTTATGTGGCCCAAGAATATTTATTTAGATTAATAAGTGTAATTACTCTTATAATTTTGTAATTAGTAGTATTACTCTAGCTGCTAAAGTTGAGCTGTCCGTGTGAATCATAGCTGTAGACTGAAAGTTGCCTCTGAAGGATCGGCTCACACCCATGCTGAATATTTTGTGCTAAAAGTAATTATCTCTGCCACACACACACACACACACACACACACACACACACACACACACACACACACACACACACACACACACACACACACACACACACACATCACTGTTATGATTTATTTCACCGATGGAGAAGTCAGAAGGAAAAAAAGGTGGACATCCTATATTAGGACATGTTTTCTGAAGTCTGAGAGGCTGAAATTGGTGTAATTGCTGTTTTTCTCATTTTAAAATAATGTTAATCAGACTTGGTAAAATAACTGTAATATGAGAGTACAGAAAGTTTGGAACCCACTGCTAAGCTGTTAAACCCAAAGATTGATAAAGTACACTTGGTGGGTAAAGAATGCAGGAAATAAAGGAGGACCCCTGCCCTCCTGGTTAAAGGAAGATAACTGTGCAGGGTCACAAATGTCTTGTTTCTTATCCTTAATTTTTGTCAGGGGTTCTTTACAAACATCTCAGAGAGGAGTTCGGAGATTCAAGCCAGTAAACTGCAGGTGACTAGTTGGCTGCTTTAACCTCCAGTAGTCCACCAGTTTTTTTCTAGCTGCACACCCAAACAGCAGGCTACAACAAGCCCTCAGCCTCACCAGCATTATTTTACTTGTCCATGCATGGGGAATGTGGGCACGTTTTCTTTAATAACTAACAAAAAATGGACCTGAAAATGCATAAAGGGGAATTGTTGGAAGTCCAGAAAGCATTAGAAGAGAAGAAGGTGGAAAGGATGGAAATGAATTCAAAATGGCAGACACTGAACTGACAGAGGAAAAGATTGAAAAAGCACTCAAACAGCTGTAAAGGTAAGAAAAAGCAGCAAAGACGCAGCAGAAAAGAGCAGGAGAAGAAAGCCAAGAACATGAGCTGCATCTAGATTGGCAACAGAAACAAATCTCCCAGTTTCCTCATCCCCTCTTCTCTCATCTATCCTTGCACACTTCCAACCTCATCTCCCCTTTTCCCCCACCTCACCTTGATTCGGACTCCTTCTCTCCTTCATCCCTCTTTCCTCACGTTTGAAACTCATTATAATGTTCCTCATGGCTAACTGATAAAACCAATCAGTCTGCATTTCTGCATGTTTGTGATGTTTGTTATTAGTCTTTTTTTACAAGAGTAATATTATGCGAGGATGATGAATTAAATCAAATCATGAATTGTGTGACATGATGTCCTCGAGGTAAATTCATTTAATGTTCCAGAGAGATTTCACACAATGGAAAATCTAAAAAATAAATAAAGTTGTCCAAAGGTATGTAGACACCTCCATGTGATTTAATAGCAGAACAACCTTTAGCCATTACTTCAACAAGTTAAAGTAATAGTCTCGTGTATGACTTTATCAGTCTCTCACATCTATGTGGAGACTTTCAGTCTTACTCTTCTTTACAATTGTGCTTTAACAGCAGCTAGAAGATTCCAGTGGGCTTTGACTGGGTTACTGCAACATCTTGTTTCTTTTCTTTTTCAGCCATTCTGCTTTAGATTTGCTTCTGTGCTTCTGATCATTGTCCTGTTGCATGACACAATTTTAGCCGAGCTTTAGCTGTTGGACAAATGTCCTCACATTTGACTCTAGAACACTTTGATATACAGAGGAGTCCATGGCCGACTCAGGGACTGCACGGTGCCCGGGTCCTGTGGCTGCAAAACGAGCCCAAATCATCATCCTACCACCGCCGTGCCTGATGGTGGATATGAGGTGTTTGGAGCTCGCCAAGTGTGACGCTGTGCATTATGGGCAAACATCTCCACTTTTGTCACATCTGCGCAAAGCACACTGTTACAGAGGTCTTGTGGTTTGTTGTGATGTAGCTTTGCAAACCCAAGCTGTGCTGCCTTGTTCTTGCATGAGAAGAAACAGCCTCCTGGGAATCCTTCCAGACAAACCATACTTGTTCAGCCTTATTCTAATTGTGCATTCACGAACTTCATCTATCATCTAACACGCTGAGACCCGTTGAGTAATTACTAATATTAAAATCATATCAGTAATTCTGCACTAATTGGATTAATTATTTAAAAATGCTTAATCGTATTTAATCATTTTGAGGATTTTTTTTTACTGGGTCATTACTTTGTTTTGCACTGCTCAGTGGTTGAACACTAAATCAGTAAAGGCAGGGGGGATTGATGCTTGTAGAGAACCAGCATGTTGCTGATAGCCGCGGCTACACCAGGAGAAGTGATAGTTTGCTCTCTCCCTGTTGAATGTTTGGGTGACATGGCAAGATTATACAGATGACATCTAGTGTACAGTTGGATCTGGAAATGTTTGGACAGTGACAGACTTTTCATAGTTTCTCTGAGCCGCCAGCATCAATTTTAAATGAAAATCACACATCACCTGTAAAACACTGGTGTGGAAGTAGCGTATCGCTAGCACAGCTCGATGAATCCTGAAGTGCACGCGGGTAAACTTTCAGCCAAACGCAGCAGCGTTTACTTGAAGATGCTTTATTGCACAGATAAGACAATGACCCAAAACATATTGCAATACCAACACAGGAGCGTCTGAAAGCTGAAGGTCAGGAAGTGGAAAAAATTCTGTAATGGCTGAATCACTGAGCCGATCTTAATCCAACCAAGACACATTTCACTTACTCAAGACTAAAGGCAGGAATATCCGTGAAGGACTGGCACTGGCTACAGCGAAGAGCTAGCAAATCAGCACAAAAGAGGAATCCTGTTATTATTTCATCACTTTCACACATTTTCATTTCACAACACTCATTAAATGCATTTCCCTACATTGAATTAAAGCTGAAAGTCTGCACTTCAATGACATCATGCTCTCTTCATTTCAAACCTATTGCGAGGGTGAGCCAAAACTGTGAAAACTTCATCACTGCGCAATCAGTTTCAGAACTATGCCATGCCTGGAAGACCGCCAGCTTGATGAAGAGTTGCTAAGTGTTCACCTTGTTCACTTGGATGCTGCTTAAGGGCTTCTCTTCTGTATGGACACACACACGCACATCCACCCACAGCATTTAGCTCTGTTAAGAATTAAATGCCTGTACTTTCAGCCTCCAGGTTTCATTATTATTAGAACATTGATGTCTTTTATATCAAAACCCACCACGAACTGATGACAGGCAAAGCAAAAAGTTTGAACTCTAATACAATAGGAAGCAATGACTCATCATTGTTATGGGTAGATCTGCTCAGCCTAATCAGTAGTCTCCCCTGAAAAGGAAGGCTGTGGGCTTGTAACCACACAGGAAACCACATTAATTAGTCTGACAGCGTCCTGCTCCTGGCTGACTAAAACATCATTAGAATGGACAGCAGCACTGCTCAAAGGCAGCACTCATATATTCTGATTAAAGCAACAGTTAATCTACTAAAACTGCTGCGGTACAGAGATTGGAAAGGTTGGGAATTATGAGCATGACACCAAATAGGATGAAACGAGCAGGAAAAACACCACAACTGGCATCGACCTTTAGTGTGTTTATTGCGTTAGAATCATTGTGGTTCAACCTAAAATTCCAACACCGATTAATGATTTTTATTGATTTTTTTAAATTTATTATAGTGCACTTGACCCTTCACATAATATGACAGTTTTAAATATTTGTTTATGCTTCAGGTGATACGTCACAACATACTGAGAGGTGATATATTACAGTACACTTCCAGCAGTTATATCATATAAAAAAAAACCCCCAAATAAGACACGAAGCAAGAAATAAATACAGACATTGCTCAAACATTCACATTTACAGTATTCTTCTTGGAATAGTTGCACACAAAATATATACAAAGGTGAAGCAAAACCTTTGTTTGTTTGTTTTTCTCCAGAGGAAGTTACGGTTACAAACATCTCTGCAAGTCCGTTCAGGTTAAACTATCGGAGCCTATCAAATTTAGATAAAAATGAGCCAAATTCTACTGCTCGTCCAAAAAAAAAAAAAAAAAAAAAAAAGGATATGACAGATGGCAGATAAATAAATGCAGCTGGTGCAGATATAATCCAATCAAACAAATGCTAACTACAGCAATTTATATTACTTTCAGAATCATCATTCATTTAGAGTCATCTAATTCATGGACATAACTAACTAAACGACCAAGCAGAGAATCCAGTCTGACGCAGCAAATACCCCGAAGTGAAATCATCTACAGCGAGCGTATTGCCTGCAATAAGTTACAGTGAACGATTAAGGTCAACAATAACCCAGAACCACTGACTTCAGTTAACACATTCAGACAGTAAAGGCGTTTTAAAATGTTCTCGTGGGAAAGCGTAACAACATTAAGAGTCAGATTTAGCCACTCGCACATGTTCACTGGCTTTTTTTGCGGAGGGTGGAAAGCCACAAGCAGCCGAGTGCTAAACGGACACACCGCATTACACAGTGAGCAGCAGACAAACAAACTCGGGATCTTCAAAGAAACGTAAGCTGTTGCGGTTGCAGAAAAATGTCATGTTGTAAGAAAACATGAGGGCATGCATTCTGGTCCGTATATGCATAGAATGCCTGCAACATGCTTGGAAGTAAACAGAGGTTTAGTATTTATGTATATCGGCAAATCAAAAGGTGCGTTCAAGCAAGCAGGAGTTAATTATTTTTTACCATATGAAGACTAGATTAGCACATAATTAGCAATTAGCAGATAATGTACAGTATTAGAGCTAGTGCGCAATAGCTCTGCTACTTATTTCCAGCTTGCTAAATGCACCTTTTAGACTTGAAAATGAAGACATTCAACGCTGAGCTACACTCTTGGAGGGTTCATCTCTGTGGGATGGATAGTATGTTTGGGCTTCTCTCTGTGCATTGGTCTATCTCTTGGGTCTGTCAATGTCATCGATGGCTGCCAGAAGTTTCTGGCGAGCCTTTTTGTTTATATGTGAGCCGAGACAAACGTTCACCAAGTTGGCTAGCTGCTTCATGGAGTACTCCTGCAAAGAAACACAACGAGTCGGTCAGAAAAATCAAACACACGGTCTCGCTGTTTTAACAGAAATGGAGTAACTTGCTATAACCACCAGCCTGTGTCACTGTCTCACCCTGTGATTCTTGATGAACTGCTCCATATCATTTTCAGTCAGGTAATAGGCCTTAATGTAGGTTTCAACAAACTCCTTATCAGGGATGGGGCGCAGGTCAGTCAGCTTCTCCAGCTTCATCAGGAACTGCTGAAAATCCAGCTGCATCAGGGCCCGGCCCTCATTGCTGCATTTCTTTACATTAGCGTAGCTACAGAGGAGGACAGAGGAGCAGACGGAGAAGGACATTAGCATTGCCCTGAGTGCTCAGGTAGAGGTAAGTAACGACTGAAACACAAGTAAATTCTGGAAGTCATTCCCAGTGGTCGCTCGCATGCATGTGACCTAAGGGTTATGTTTAACATCACATATTTTCCACACTTAAATTCTCCAGCCAAATATCACCATGCTCAGACATTCTGCACTTCTTCAGACATCTCCAAGCACAGATCACCAAATGTCAGACAAAATCTGCCTTTCTTAAGTGCTCTGAGTGCATAATGAAGTCACAATGTACCTAGCAAAGTGAAAATGCCCAGTACTCTGTGTGTATATGTGTGTGTGTGTGTGTGTGTGTGTGTGTGTGTGTGTGTGTGTGTGTGTGTGTGTATATGTATATATATATATATATATATATATATATATATATATATACACATACACATAGTATATACACTGGGTGAATGTGCAGTAGTGGCAGCAAGCAGGTGAATTCTGTACATTAATATGAATAGATATCTGAAATATTAACTCCAAATTAAACAAACAGGGTGTTGCTTTCACTTTTAAATGGTGCTTAATTCCTGTTAATTAACTGAGATGATATTCTCTTACCAAAGTGTCATATAGTAAGTCTGATCTTGTGACAATCCAAGTCACGTCATCTTAAATTCAATGGTTTTATTTGGTTACGATTTTACTGCAGAATGTGCTGTTGTCTTATTAAAATACTTACTATACTACTTAATATTAGTAATAATTCTTATTTACGTAGGATTACTTCGATATTTTGCTTTATATTTGTGGATTTGGATGAATATATTTAGTGTATATATTTAATTCTGGAATCAAGTTTGACCGAAACCTGTTTAGAGTTCCAGCTGTTACACACGTGTGTTTTTACAGCATTTTCTTGTATGTGTATTTAAGGGTGTTTGCATTCGGGCTCTTTTTTATTTCCCTTCAGTATTACACTAAATCGGGTTATTCCACACGGCCTGTGGTGTTGGTACATGTGTGTGGGCCAGAGTACACATGCATTTCATTGTGTGTGTCTGCTTGTGTTCCATGTGTTTGGCAGCGAGCACTGTTGCGCACTGGCAGGTCGGACTGTGACATCTCCAGTACATTAACACTCCACACAACACATCTGCACTTTGCAAACTCTCCCCGTCTCACACTTCAGCTTTTCTCTCTCTCGTTTCCATTTTCTCCCCTCACCTTCCCCGTCTCTCTCTCTCTCATCATCATTGTCGTTCTCCCTCTCTTTTTCTTGTCAAAGCTGCCAGAGTTTTTGGTGGCGAGTGTTTGAGCTGCGGCTCAGAATGCTAACGGAGCGGTTTTTGCGAGTCTCTGAGGAGACAAGGACAAGCGCTGGACAGAGAAAATTTATAACAGACTAGGGCGGTCGGAGTACAAACAAATAAATATGACCGGTCTATCTCGTTGTGCCAGAGGGTTGGGAGATGTGTGTTTGGAGGGTGTACTGGGAGAACCAGGCAGGCGGTCGGCAACAGCAGCTTAAATTGGCCAAGCATTGCAGTCGTAATGGGCCATTTGCTCATTGGAAAGGGTTCAAAAGTTCTCTTACGCAACAAGAGGAAGAGCGCTCAGCAAACGTGTAGGGAAGTAAACATGTTCCCTTCTCTTTGTGTTTGAGGCCGAGGCATCCACCTATGCCTCGCAGTCGATGTTCTCCCTCTTATTTAAAACACTTGGAAAGAACAAAGCCACTTAGAGCAAGGACTTGTTTTCAGCCCGAACTGCGTTCCCTGGCTTCAACACGGTTCAGCGTAACCTGCTTTGAATTTGTAACCTGGGATAACTTTGACGTCAGTCGCAGTCCTTTCATATTTCCGATAAAATGTGTGGAACTTCACGATGATTGTCAGCTGCTTATTTCTCGCTTCGTCACCGTCCAGTCGGCGTGACTCGATGCTGCTGTGCACCCAATCTGTCCGATCAGAGGGATTTATCGCACCATCCATCTAAAAACATACTTCACACATATGCTCCGCGCATGAGCCTGAGAAAAGCGACAGTGGAGGTGCTGAGAAAAAACAAAAACAAAAAACCCAAAACCCTGACAATCTGTCACCTATCACAACCTATATCGCTCCCTTGCAAGGGCAAAAGTGGTGAAACGCATTACAAGAGATGTGTCAAGAGCATTCTGCGGTTTGTGTGAGTGGCCTGTGTCAGGTAATCCCCTGATGGGTATTTGGTGAGGCTGCAGAGATGTGACTGCCAACATGAATAGAGGAGGCGATGGCAGCGTCGTCGAGTGGTTTTTCTCAGGGAATATCTCAGAAGGAACCAGACACAGTTTTATGGACGGCAGGTCAATTTCTCTGCTCTTCCCGCTGCTTTCACAACACGCTTTGGGAAGAATTTTCGTTTTAAATTTATGACATGCAGATGTTTAAACTGGGGAGCAAACACAGAGAGAAATAAATAAAGAAAGAGTCATTCTTTTGAGAAGTGTGAGCCTCAAATCATTGAGGCAATAGCTCAGCTCATAACACAAATTGAGTGGCACTATTAATGACTGTAACCTGAGAGTAAAAAGATCCGTTTTAAGCAGAAAAGACAGTAAAAAGCACCGAGGTTAAAGGAAAACTGTTCCAGATTCAGCGTGACATCTCAAAAGAAATTCCAACAAACCCAAAGATGTTTATACTTGGTTTGCATCCAGAAGGACAAGGTTGTAATAACAGTAAAAAAAGTCAGCAGAGATTGATGAACCTCAGTTTTAACCCTTTAATGCCAAGTGTATCACACACTACGTTGCCAAAGGCATTCACTCTTCTGGGTTCACACACATGAACTTGAATGACATCCCATCCTTTAATCCGTAGGACTTAATATAATGTCAGCCCACCATTTGTTAGCTATAACAGCTTAAACTCTGCTGAGAAGGTTTAGGAGTATTTATGGGAATTTTTCACTACTCTTCCAGAAGCGCATCGGTGAGGTCAGACACTGATGTTGGACGACATGGCTTGGCTCGCAGGCTCCAATCCAACTCATCTTAAAAGTGTTCCCTCAGGTTGAGGTGAGGACTCTGTGCAGGCCAGTCAAGTTCTTCTACACCAAACTCCCTCATCCATGTCTCTTTGTGGATCTCGCTTTGTGCACTGGTGCGCAGTCGTGTTGGAGCAGGAAGGGGCCGTAAACAAACTGTTCCCACAAAGTTGGGAGCATAAAATTGTCCAAAATATCTTCTTGTGCTGAAGCATTAAGAGTTCCTTTCACTGGAACTAAGGGGCCGAGCCCAACTCCTGAAAAACAGCCCCACACCATAATCCCCCCTCCACCAAACTTGACGCTTGGCACAATGCAATCAGACAAGTACTGTTCTCGTGGCAACCACCAAACCCAGACCCGTCCATTGGATTGTCAGACAGAGAAGCATAAGATATGTGTTTTATTGTCAACGGTTGCCTGTAGTGCACAAACTAATGAAAACTAATGAGAAAAATTGGGGCATGGATGGATGACGAATGCTTCAGTGTTTTTTTCTAAATGCAGTGGTTTAAAAGCAGAACTGTGTGGTACCTAGCCTGGTTACACAACTCATACAAATAGTTCAAAAGTCTAACACGAAGATTGAGCAATCTGAACATTTTGCTTTACACTTCTTTCCTCCTTGTAGTTCAGTAGCATACAGCATTTACTTCGACTGCTTTGCATTCACCTGTATATCCTAAAGAAGTCTTTCATACCCGGATTTTTCCTGGCTTTAGGAAAGGCATGATGCGGATCGTAGGAGGTGGGTGGATACACATCTAAGCACAACGGGTTCATTTAAAGTTCAGGTATTGATTCTGCCTGATCCTTATTTCACGGAAATTTGTGCTGCTTTGCTCATATTTCAAAATATTTGATGAACAAAGATGTATCTTACTTAAAACTGTTTTCATTAAAATGACTTTCCTTTAACCGAGGTTTTATTGTAGGTGTTTTATTCACTGATTTTAAGATGTATTTCTTAATTACAGTTTTTCCACAGTTTTAGTGGACTCAGTATCTGTTTGGTATGGTATGATATTTGTGCAGAGAGACAAAAAAAAGCCCAATTTCTCTCGGGCAGATGGCAGCCCGACTCAAACTGGGATGTGCACTTGTTTCAGTAGATTTGAGGAGATGGTTGCTGCCAGTGGCAAACAGCCTGTAGTGCTTTTTGCTGGAGGGAATAGCAAGTCTTCGTATGAATCTCTTGCTCATGTTAAAGTAGAGAAACTGAGTGACAGACTTCTCTAAACTGTCGCTGCCACTGTTATAGGTTATTTTTTCTGTGAGCAGCCCATAGCAGTATGATAATAGACAACAGCCTTTTCATAAAGCAGCAAATGACTCACAGACAGACACCAAGTGTGTGACGCACGGCTTTGAGTCGGTGCTCCATGCAGATGGTGGAGGGGGGAAACATTATGTACAAAAACAGCTTGTGTTTTTTATATTTAAGGTTTAACAATAACTCACTGCATACACTTTCTTACCCCTCAACAAGAGTCCTGTTGGCCAAACGGATGCAGTGTTCCCAGAGGACGTTGGACACAGGCAGGGGGATGCGCACATGTCTGGAAACTTCACCCAGCCGCTTGTTAAATTGCTCAAACTCCTGATGAGGCGGGGAGAAAGAAAAGGTGAACACATTCCTGTGAGTACAACACGACGCAGCAGAAAAACAAATCGCTGGTCTTTTACCAAAAAAAAGTATATGTGGTCAGGAAAATATTTTATACAATTGGTCATATTTCGCTAAAAAGTACCATAACTTTCATATCAACATATAAACAACATGCGGCTCATTAAAAAAAGCATTTTAATTAACAGATTCCTATATTTCTATATTACTACAGCTACAATTAGGTCTAAACACAAAAATCTCAATATGGACACTACATTATTCAGCCAAACGCTTCCACCTAACCATCACAGATTAGCCAGAAAAAGAAAATAACGTCTTAATATGGATTATGCAGAATTTTAGGTCTCTACTGTTTCTACAATAAACACAAACAAAACTGAAGAGATGAAAGTTTTAGACATTTTTCTTGCATTCTTGTTCTTCTATTGTGCATCTACTTGTGCATTTCAAAAATCCATCATACATTTTGAATATAAAATAAACAGAAGCTTGCCCTTTCTAAAAAAGATGACTTGGATTTGGTATCACACTGAAGTTGGATGAAAGTATGTTTCTTTTTCATATTTAAGCTTTAACGTGTGTGAAACTATTCACCTGATTTAGGCTGTTAAAGGATATGATGCAGCTTGTTTTTTAATAAGCTAAACATTTGTCCCCTACCTGCAAACTTTGGTTTCTAGAAACCTCCAAATCTGCTGTCAGAGATCAGACTTACAAATAATTACGGGACTTCCAAGTATCTGTCCTTCTATGTTAACTTGATCTGCATGCACTCCAGAGAGCATAATACCAAAAACTTTGAAGGGCCTCGCTCAACTAGTTTTCCAGATAGTAGATTTCTGAAATGGCCCCTCAACACAATGACACGAGAAAAAAAAGCGTCACCATCTTTATCCCTTAAAATGACCTGATGAACTGAGATGTAATGACCTTGTTGGATTCTAACTGGAAGACGTAAACAAAACAAAAAGTTGTCATGAACAACACTTTAAGGATTTCCTTTGATTCTCTCTTACACGCTGCCTCAAGAAACAGCATTTGGGTTTTCCTTTAAACCATTTAGCTTAAATTATACATCCAAAATAGTGATTATAAGTAAATCAGATCAATCTCGGCTAAATTATTGTTTTTTTCCACCAGTGTAAGCAGCCGGCAGGATGTGTGGGTTACTTTCCTGAAACTCTAACAGAGCTAAGTAATAATTCTGCCGTCTGCACTGATGGAAGCAAAGCATGCTGACGTACAGTAGTGAAGAGCGCGGGGGCTGCATGTATGAAGCTGTCGAGCCACAAATCATGCGCAAAAACAAATCATTTGGGCGCCGGTGAATACTGTACTCCAGTCTGACAGCATCCCAAGGTGAATACAAGCTACATCTAAAATCTAAATCTAAAATGTTATTCTGATTCATTTTCTGTTACTGCCTTCCAAAAACAAACTGCAGTACCTAGGTAAGTATGTAAATATGACACATGCAGATTAAGATTGTAAATAAATTCATAAAATATGCAAGTATTAAATTACATTTTTAAATTGCATCATTATAGAAAAAAAATTAACGTGAACCTTAATGCATGTTCCCATTAATTTTACACCCTGAAATGAAATGTTACTCATTCACAGCCTCACAATAGACTCTGACTCAAGCATTTTGTCAATGAAGTCATTCTGAGGCTTCGGCATGTCTTTGCCACTTTATATGCAAATGAGCGCCATTGTTGAATGCTGGGGATCAACCTGAATTCATGAATAAAATATTGCTGTGTGCGCGCTACAACAAAACTCAGCACCACTTATTTCAATCACGTAACACACCCCGCATGCATTATGACCGTCTTGACACGATGACGGGGGAGGCTATTAGCACCTGATGGAAAACTACACGCGTATACGATGTCTGTCCACGTCTGTCCGAGTCACTAAGCAGTTCAGCCATCAGCCATCTGTTATGTATGATTTTGCCTCTGCTTGATGCTGCTCTGTTTATGGCTCCGCACCGCAGCGAGCCCCTTGCACCTTTCTTTCTCTTAGTGTCAGAAGCAGGAAAAATGTGTCCTTTACCCCGCCATACAGGTTTATAAAAGAATAAGTAGCCAGCATGAATAAAGACACACATTTAGAAGAAACTTTCTCATTCTAAAAATACTTCTGGGAGCAGTGAGCTCAGATGTCTTTAACAAAGCAGAAAACTTCAGGAGAGATCTGCATTTGGCTCTTAACAGCTCACCCATATAATAAATTATTCACCCCCATCCCAAATAATTGATATTAAAGGTCCCTGAATTAACTTTGAGTCAAGGAGGAGAACAATGACCTTCACAGTTTCAGACTTTAAAAGAATAAGAGCTAATGCTTAGTGTACTGATGGCAGAAGGATAACACTTTTTTTTTATGAGTGCAACAAAGACACAATGTGTGGAGGGGGAGGGATGCCTGCTAGATAAAAGTAAATCTAATACAGCTGCTTTGTGTTCTATTTTTGTGTAGCGTGGATATTGCGTGACACTGAGAGGACACGGTATCTGTTTGGGAAAAGTAATAAGCACTGAGATCTTTGTGGACTTTTCTTTGCTATAAAATGCACAAAAAAGGAATAAAGGGTTTTAAAAAGGGCACCAAGTAGTCTCAGAATCATTTATATTCACCTTGCTAAGTCAAGGGTCTTAAAGATATGAATGATGCAGAAACCCTAATGAGGTATTTGCATGAGATCTTTATGAAATGTGAGTAAAAGCTGCTTCAACATTTAAGCGTTAATATGTGCATAACCCTTAATTGGATTTAGACTGTTTTAAAGAATATGATGCAGGTTGTTTATGAGAGGCTCTAAACAAAATCTCAGTCCCCTACCTGCAACACTGTGGTTTCTACAGGAGCTTCAAATCTGCTGTCCAAATATTTTAGGGACTTCAAGCATCCATCAGTCTATGTTAATGTGAGCTACACTCATAAAGCCATCATACCAAAAGCTTTAAAGGACCTAGCTCAAGTAGTTTTCCAAACAGTGGAATTTTGAAGTGATGGTCAGGTGGGAAGTTTTTGTATGCTTAATAACTTTAGCTGGTTTTTGTCGGTAGTGGGTCAAAAATAGGCTACAGTAACATCAGCATTCGCTTTTCTTATTCGTCGTTACCTTTAACAAGACATCCACATATACATTGTGCTGGGACATTATCTCCCTAATGTCCCATTTAACTCCGGCCATCATGAGCAACATTTGTTCATAGTCGATGGCCTTGGCCGCCACGATCCAGTAAATTGGTTTCCGCAGTTCGCTGGCTGTAGACACCGTCTGAGTGCAGGAAGGAAGGATACATATATGAGAGTTAGTGGATCATTATAGTCAACATATGGATAAGGTATTTTTCAACTGCCTGCTATTCTGCAGGAAGAACAATGTTAAAGTTTCCAATGAGCGAAATCAGGACATGACATTCACTTGATGTTTTGGGTCAAACAGACCCGTCTCTTCATCTGAATTTCAAATGTCAAAGAGACAAAAAAAAAGAAAAAGAAGCAAAGTTATCCATGTGGGTTTGAGTTGTTTTCATTTGTTTTTAAAGAAAACAAAAGGGCACAATTACAATTAAGCAAGTGGAGTGCAGGTGGGAGGGGGAGCACATCCACAACAGTCACACAGCATATTTCACATTGTGCCTTAAATATTAACAGTGAAATCCAAAAGGAAAACACATCCTATAAACCACATATTTAAGTGCATGTGTGGAGAAAATCAATTACAAATAACAAAAAATAACATAATCTCAGCCTTACAAGAGGTTAAAATAAAATAAAAGACAAACGGTTTTCTACAGCTGGAGACGATGTCTGAAATAACCTGACAGCTGTAGCTGACAGTGATGACATGATCAGTTACTGTAATAATTGAGGCCTGTGCCCTCAGAGGAGGCATAACTGTATAAACCAAACAATACCTGGGAATAAAACTGCTGCAGGAAGGGCTTCTTGGCTGCAGGCATCATCGCGTCCAAGTGGGACTGCAAGGACTCAAACTGCTCTGCCAGAAACACACTGACACAACCAAAGAGAAACAGCCTTTAAATTCTGCCCATATGCTCTGCTTGTGACACATAAGAAAAGGCAATTACGATGTGTTGTTTTTGTGTTATTAAAGAGTGACAGATCTATTTACAAAAGCTCGTATTACTATTACAAAGTGGAGTAACTGACCATTAGAGAGAACATCACCTTAAATCTCTGTTACTCTTGAACAACAGTAAATCATCTCAAATGGAATAAGAAGGTTTTTTTTAACTTTTTTGTCTCCCTTGATTCTTCTGATCCATTAATTGGATCAAGATTTTAGTCATATGTGCTTAAACCTGAGTTTCCAGCATTTCCTGCTGTTCAATCTCATTTCTTCCCTTGTTGGTCACGTTTTGATGAAATAAACATCAAATTCATCCATCCATTCGCTTCCGCTTATCCTTTTCAGGGTCGCGGGGGGCGCTGGAGCCTATCCCAGCTGTCATAGGGCGAGAGGCAGGGTATGACAGCTGGGATAGGCTAAACATCAAATTTGATTATTATAATGTAAATTATGGAGTCAGCTGTAATTTTGCTGTAAAAACTTGTCTGACTTCCAAACCTTTAAGTCTCACCTCCCAAAGCAAAGTATTTTCACGTCCGACAAATCAAGCAGCACTTCTATTTGTTTTTTGGGTTTTTTGACAAGGATTGGATTTCAATTATCCTTGAAAAAACACTCAGACCAAAAGAGGTAGCAGAGAGAGAAATACAGGACAGAAAGAAGAAGAAGAAAAAAACAATCAATGCGCTCAGAACTAATACCCCCCCCCCCCCCCTTCCACTCTGTATCCAGCACTGACTAAATAAAGACCTCTTGACTCAGGCTGATCGATGGCTCTGAAGTGTTACAGTGCATGAAATAAAAAGTGAGTGAACATGTTTACGTGGGCTGAAGTTCAGAGTTGAGTCCTGACTTTAACAAGGATCATTAATTAAAGAGCAACAGGTCTCCGCAGAGCTCTTAAATACAGCAGGAAAAAAGAGAGAATAAAACAGGAGAAATCGACTTAATCAGACTAAGACACCAGTCCCAGCTGGGACCTCCACATTCTTTTGCTGCCTCTTGAACCTCCGTTTGGGTGTGAATGCACACACCAATGAAGTGAAAAAAAAAAGCTGTCCTTAAACCTGCAGACGCCCCTCACTGCAAGCTAAAGGTAACCTGTCGTTAGCTGATAAATTGGGGTTTTGGAGAAAGATCAGAGAACTAAAAGTCTGAGGCCACAGAAGTGACAGTCACTAAATTTACATTCCATTCCGCTACATCCCAAAGGTGCTCTATTGGATTGAGATCAGGTGGCCATTTGAGTACAGTAAACTCCTTCTCGTTTAACATTTGTGTGTTCAGAGATGCTATTCTTCTTCTCATTATTTCATTTACCGTTGCCTTCCTATCAGGTTGAAGCAGTCTGGCCATCCTCCTCTGACCTATGACATCAACAAGGCATTTTCACCCAGAGAACTGCCGCTCACTGGATATTTTTCTTCCAGACTGTCTCTGTAAACCCCAGAGATGATGGTGTGGGAAAATCCCAGCAGATCAGCAGTTTGTGAAATACTCAGAGCAGCCAGTCCGTCACATACTAAGTCACTTGCATGGTATGATGCATTGTGTAATCAGCAGATTCGATATTTGTATTAAAAAGCTGTTAAATAGGTGTACCTTAAAAGGGGCCAGTGAGTGCATCTGTGTCATTATTCTTCTAATAGACTCTTGCGGCTATAAATTGAATTTTCTTTTAGATAGGGCGCTTAGGAAAAAAAGATAAATTGCATTCAATTTGCATATTATTAACATCCAAACCCAAACAGAAACCTTTATTTTAAAGCATAATTTAATGTTAATAAATTCACACTAGTTTGGACACTGTATAAAAACAGAATGCATTGATTTGCAAATCCCATAAACCCACATTTTATCAACAACAAAACACAGAAAATATATCAAATGCTTAAAGTGACAAAATGCACCATTTAAAAAAAAAATATTAGCTTGTCTTGAATTCGATGCGAGCAGCACTTCTCAAAAAAAGCTGGGATAGAGGCCACGTTTACCACCGTGTAGCATCCCTTCTTTTAAAAATAGTCGTCATCAAAAACATCTGGAATCTGATGAGAGCAGCTGCTGGACTTTTAGGAGAGGAATGTTGTTCCAGTCTTGTTTGGTAAGATTCAAAATACTCAAAACTCCTGGGTCTATACCGTATTTTTTGACATATGACGCTCCAAATGTTTTCAGTTTGTGAACGGTCTGGACTGCAGGCAGGCCACCTCACTCCCCACTCTTCTACTATGAATTCCTGCTGTTAGAATAACTGCAGTATGCAGCTATTACTGAAATACACATGATTTCCGAGCTCATCTGGACGGGAGCATATGTTGTTTTAAAGCTTGTATGTATATCTTTCAGCACTGATGGTGCATTTCCAGATGTGCAAGATGCCGATTCCATACGTGCAGATACACCCCAATACTATCAGACGCCCAGGCTTAAAGTGAGCACTGATAAGAAGCCAGATGGTCCCTCCTCTCTTTAGTCCTTACGATGTACCATCCATGTTTTCCTAAAAGAATTTCAAGTTTCAACTCATCTGAGCCCAGAACAGTTTTCCACTTTGCCTCAGTCTATTTTAAATCATCTTAGCCCAAAGAAAACAGGATTTCTCCAAATGCTCTGAATCTTTTATTGATATTATCTACTGCTGATCTTTAAGTCTTCATAATTTTACATCAAGGAAAGTGAATCTAAAACTGTTCTACAAGGCTTTTTTGCAATATTGGTGAACCTCTGCCAATTTTTATTCTTGGCATCTCAGAGATGTTCCCTATATACCATCATGTTACGGACCTGTTGCCAAATAAGCTGCAAAATGTTCCTCCAACTCTTTCTTTTTAGTACCACGCTGTTAAGAAGTGTAGATGCTTTGTGGGTTGGTGAGATTTGCAAATCACTGCAGTCTGTTTTTACTTACGTTTTAAACACCGGCCCAACTTTTTTTGGATGGGTGCGTAAAAGTACCAGAGAGAAGATATTTTTTTGTGTCCGTTTGTTTTCATAGAGCAATGAAGATCGCATTAAGGTGAGCAGGAACAGCTTGTGTTTACCTCAGCAACATAATCATGTGCTGTGGAGGGAATAAGAAGAAGAAAGCACACACTGCACTTCAGAGTCACGCTTGTATAGATGCAACACCTGACCAGCAGCATAGAGAATGAACAACCGATGGTCAGTTTGCTGAGCTTTTGTCTTTGATTCTTCTCACACATGATTGCTGTGTCCACTTTCTTTTCTCTCCCAGAGATTTTGTTTGAAATGGGACAGGCTGAGGATGCTAAAAACACACACAAACTGTGAGCTGTCTTTTCTAAAAACACTATTTTTAGATCAAAAGCATAAAAAATAAAACCCGACCACCAACGCCCTCAACAATTTCTCGCAGTTTTGCACAGAATAAGTCTGCTTTGGTCCTTTAAACTTTACCTACACTAAACACTTTAGCCGTTTTGCTTTCATTCTTCTTCGGAGCTTGTTGCCTGCCTCCAAAACACGAAACCCTTTTTGTGAGCGAGTGTAAGCCTACTCAGCGTTCTGGCAACAGCGCTGTCAGAGCCTTTGGTTTACAAGACTTTCATTATGAAGCTGTTGTTGTACAGCGCAGACCTCTGAGGGCCCAAGTGCTGTCAGCATTGATGATAAGCTTGACCTAATTATGCACGGGGGCACCAGTGTGTAGTGTGAATGTAACAGAGTAAGACAGAGAGGGAGGGAAAAAACAGAGTAGAGGAGTACAAAAATAAACTGGTTACTGAGTGACTGATTGAGAGAGTTTAAAACATATCAAATTAGAGAAAGGAAATGATTTTGGGGGCGCTAAAATGTGTTGCTGTGTGTGCAGGAACACAACGCAGGCAGGGCTAATCTTTGCCGGCCAGTGTGTGGAAAACTGTGTAATGACATTATTGCCATCCTGACACGAGGCAGTGAGCGAGAAGCGGCCTCTATAACTTGATCAAACAGAGTGCTTTGATGTACATAACTGTCACGTTACATCGCGCTGCCAGGACACACAAGCGATGACATAAAGCACGCACTAATGTCAATGTAATGTAAGGAATACTTTAATGTAGTGTGCAAATGCTTCCAGTGGTGTGTGCTTACAGAGACTCTGTGGCCACCACCCTTTGTGCCAGCCCGTAGAGAGTCCCGCTGTTAGTGAGGACCACCAGCTGGCTGAGATGGGGGCTGGGCACCTTCTCCTTCCTGTCCTCTGCTGGGCCATGCACCCCTGCGTTCTCCCCGACAGCCTCCTGAAAGAAACACAGGTGGACTTTAGAAAACTAACACGAAGGAAACATTGTAATATCACTTGAAGCAGAGGGAAGCGCAATCATTTCCCTGCTAATCTCTCTCTCAGTGTATGTCGTCCTGCGATCACTTTAACATTTAATCTAACATAAGAGCAGTTCAGATGCATCGTCTAAAGTGCAATCAACTTTGAGGGACCCGGTCACAGCCGAAGCCCCCACACAGTAAAGTTCTGCTGACCAAACACTCCTGAAGCGGCAGCATTAATCATTCTGATACATTCTAACACTCCATTTATCACTCATTTTATCCTTTCAATCGAAAAACTACTGAAAGAGAAATAGAAAGGTTTCAACCCGGCTCTCTTCCAATCAACCACAATAATCAGCATCTGCATAAAAAACAATAAAGTAATGTCTTGGTGGCGTAATGTATTATGTTGGCACACAGAGCTTTGTACTCTGTGACTGCAAAGCCCCCTGAAACAGCTTCTGGCAGATCAATAGCAATCACGCAGGTAATGAACAAATGGGAGCCATTAATGCTGCACCGTATCGTCCACTTACGCACTACCGGCCAGTGCAGTCTGGGTCTAATATCGTGTACGAGCACTCCTATTCCAGAAGAGCGGTGGAAAGCTTTTATAACCGAGGTCCTGCCAAGTATCCAGAGTAGAGACAAACTGTTGTAGCATGAAGATTAATGAGTAAAAGTAAAGCAAATGGTTACATCACTCCTACGTGGTCCAAAAAAAGATGGCAAGAATTCGTGAAATGTCAAATCCTGCCTGATAAAAGACCTTCATGCCACTACTTTATTATCACTGATAACAGATGAAAAACATTCAGTAACAGCAGACAAATAACCATTTCTGAAATGAAAGTGTTTTACACAGAGTGACGTGCTCCGTATTAAAATGCCAGCAGCGGCTAAAACGGGCTATAACAGCTCGGCGTACGCACTGCTGCAAAAATGCACAGAATGCAGCTCTGTGGACAATTTATGACTCAGACAAGCAGGAGCTATGCTGTCTCCCTCAAAGTGATAACTTCAACCTTTACACAACCTCCAACTTATCTCTCCGCATTCAATCAAACGCGCAGTGTTGCCAAAATCATCATCGGTCTGAAATTGACTCGGGGAGATTAACAGTTGATCTATATTATTTTACAGCAGTGGGGATCTAATGGTTTCCCTGCGGAGACTGCAACTCATCGCGGGAGCGGCTCGAAATAAACATGATTGAATTTAATTGAATACTTCTCAGCGCAGATGGTGAAATTAAATAAGCCTTCAGTAACTAGGTAAGGCTAAAGTTACTCATTACGTCTTTGTTAGAGATTAAAAGATTGCATAAAGTTTTCCCTGAATTATTAAACCTGAGCTGAAATTAGACTGCAAACGAAAAAAAATATGACTATTAACATTTTTGTTGTATAATTCACAAACGGCACATTTCCTTTTTCTTCTGTAAGCAACCAAAACACTTAAAAAACAGAAGAAATAATGCACACTTTCTTTACTTTGTCAAAAGGCTGCAGAGCGTTCACCAAAGCAGCCACACTTTGGCCTAATACAGCTGTGAATGCAGTTATTCTAAACTCGGGGAATCAGAAGAACAATTTGAGCCCCAAGTTAAAGATGCAGTCCTCGTTTACTGAGTCATTTAATCACACATTTAATTTAGTTCCTTGAAGGGTTGATACGCATTAATTACTCTTTTTTAAATTATGGCTGTCCAAGGCTTTTTACAATGCACAGAAATGCTTAACAAATTTATAAGTTTCTTTTATATTTACTGGGAAAATAAACTGAATTCCCATTTTAACACACAAATTTGAGCCGGCACACTGGACTTGTCTGAGAAGTCACAAAGTAGTCAAGCATAAAATTCAACCACTGAAAGTAATTTTTAAATAACTTGAGGTTTAGTTGTTTGTCTGCTTTCATCATTTTGATTAAAGACCACCATAAAACACAAAAAAAGGACATTGATAAACACCAGTACTATTAATTGAGGCTAAACCTTACACTGGGAGGGGTCTAATAAATGTTTTAAGCACTATATGCTGAGAAAACTCAGTTTCACATGCTTAGTCATGAGTTACAATTTTTTGATCTACTAAATCTGCTTTAAAAAGATACAAAGGCATCTCGAACACTGCAAAGGGTTCAAGTCGCCACAATGAGCACAGCTGTCAGCATTTTAAACACGTCCCTGCACATAAACATGACAAACGTGTAATGGTTATGGAGTTAATCCAGAAAGGCCATTACTGCCCTCTTCAAACTACAGCAAATGACGTTAACATTTGGAACGGGATCATAGCAAAATAAATAAATAAATGTTTCGCTGCAGTGGCCAGCAGCCATTTGTACGTGTGACGTTGCCAGATCCTACAGGAACTTGCACACAAACATGCAAACGCAATAAATATTCCCAGAAAATCAAATGAAAACTATTTGTGCGGTTGTTCTTGTCATTTTCTTTTGTAACAGCAGATCTTATCATATCAGCAGCTGGTTGGACACTATGGTCAAAACGCGCCTCTTTACAAATGCAGCTGCTTTCTCTTTGTGGAGTGTTGGAGCTTTAGAATTCAACCTCTTTCACTTGTTTCTTCTTTTATATCTGCGTCTGCAGTGTTGGGAAAGCTGTGCTTGCGGTGGGGGGGATGGTGCCTAAAAGGATCTTCGGTACAAAGAAGTAGGGTAAAAACACCTCTTTATATGTAAGATAGCCTAACAGAGAGAAGTGAGCAGCATGAGGACTTTTGCCAGTCAGCAAAAAACAAATCCACAGGTTTACCATGAATAAGAACATTACAGTGCTACATTACAGTTGTATACAAGAACTGTACACTGTCCTTTGAATGAATAAAATAAATCTCAAGCTGCATTAGTTTGACATTAAAGCAAAGTTTGGTTTGGTCTATTTTTAATGACGCTACATAACGCTTGACCTTTCGTTTGTTGTGCCTTTTCAGCATAAAAACAGGCTTCTGAAAGACATTTGGGAGAGAAGTTGTGTTTCCTTTCCAAATTCATGCGAGTCTGCAGGGATCCTCCAGGTAAAAGCAAAAAGCTGGGCTGAAAAGAAAAATGTGGTGGGCGGGAAAGGACAAACACAACATCGATGACATTTAGGAATTTATGCGTGTGGTTTTCAGAATCTACAGCACAAATATAATCAGAGACGTGGAACAAACTTGGGGAAATCTCACTAGGGTTTAGGGTAAAATGTGCAAAAAAAAAAAAAAGTCTTGCCTGACCCCCTAATGTTTACTGGTTTCTAAGCGAAATGCTTACGCTATTATTATTACATGTTTACTAGGGGTGCAACGATATTCGTATCGATATTGAACCGTTTGATACAGTGCTTTCGGTTCGGTACGCATATGTATCGAACAATACAAAATTTGTAATTTATTTTATCAACTTTCCTTCTGACGATGCCGTCTGTGTTGAGCGCTCAGTGAATCTGCGTTCGACTGCTCCGCCTAGGGTCGACAGTGCAGCCTAGGCGGAGTAGTCGAACGCAGATTCACTGAGCGCTCAACACAGACAGCATCGTCAGAAGGAAGAGCGCAGGGCAAGCTAGCGAGACAGAAGTTAAGCTCTCCTTGCAACATGGACCTCCCCCACCCTCATTCAGATCTGGCGTTTGGAATTATTTTGGTTTTCATGTGACGTATGACCCTGAAGGTAAGCGAGTCATGGACTAAAGTAAAACAGTATGTTGGATGTGCCATGCAATGCTCAATTACATGGGTGGGAACTAGTGTGTTAGCGCAGTTAGCTCGTTAACGTGTTGGCCGTCTAGCCCCATGCACGGGGCGATCGGCGGTAGCTCGTTAACGGAGATTTGCCGTGTTGTGGCGTTAAGGTCATTTCAACGAGATTAACCTGAAAGCACTAGTGGGAACACAACGAATATGACTGCACATTTACGCCGACATCATCCTAGTGCAAAGACAAAAACAACAAGCATGCTACTAACTTTAGCCGAGTCATTTAGACAGCTGTTAGCACATGATTCTCCTTATGCTGCTGAGAATATAGCCCAGAAGAAGCGGATAGTATAGCTTTTATTTTGGAAAGAGACATTTCTCTGTAATAAACTCTCTTTTCCAAAGATGAGTGATTCCTCGATCAGATACAGGGCTCGCAATATCGCTAGCCCGACGTCCCGGAGCTAGCGATTTTTTCAGTCGGGCTACCAAAATCTATCTCTGCCCTGCCCGTCGGGCTTTTGTAGGAAGGAAAAATATATGTCAAAGCTTTTGCATTCTTTCGGAAATGTAGCTGGGTAATTATGTCATTGGCATCGGTGAGCCACTGTCAATATGTGACATATTGAAATCGCGTTTAAATTTGCGCTTGTTTTTTGCTTTCACTTTGCAATCAAGCGAACTGTGTATAGAGAGCGACAGTACTGATCTGTGAGTGATGATAATTTGCGCACCAATTCCTCTGACATCGTCTTATTAATCGTTAGCTTACTATGCAAACATGACAAGTGAAATCTCCCGCAGCAAGCTTAAACATGTGAGAGGTTGATCGCGCAGAGAATCGCTGAGCTTATGTGAGTACGTGTGTAAAAGCATTTCAGTTCTGCTGAGCCAAATAAGACAGGTCAGGGTGAAGAAGTGACAGCCAAAGAAAAGCTTACCACAAAACGGAGAAGTTATGACAAATCAGACTATAAGGCAAAAAGAAAGTGCAGCTTTATGGTTTCATGGACAAAAGAATTTCTGTGGCTGCAATATGACAAGCTAAATAACCAGGGCTGCACATAAGTGGTCCGCAGGTGCGTATTCGCTGTCAAAATAAAAAACACGCACAAGGGTTAGGGTTAAATTTAAAAACTGTACTTTTGAGTTAAAATATATATTTATAATTTTAATAAATGACAAATTAAAAAGGCATGAACATTTTTTTGTATCGAAAAAATATCGAACCGTGACACCAAAGTATCGAACCGAACTGTGAATTTTGTGTA